CAAGCAACTCCAACCCCCACACGGGACCCATGGGACCCAGTTCTGGGTTCCCAGCAGCACTGGGTACAGATACAGGCCTCTGGCACAGCTCCCCTCTCCAGCACCCGAAGCTCTGACTCAAGTCACTGTCTGCTCAGCCGTCAGGCACAGCCCACAAGTGCGGAGGATCTCCAAGGCCAGAGTGAACCAGCAGAGGACCCCTGAGCCCACAGGGACGGGGCTCAGTCTTTCACGCCAGCCTCGACCTCCTGGCTCTCCCTGTGGGGCTACCAGGATCAGGGCGGCCGGCCACCCTGGTTTCCCAGGGAGTGGAAATGTCAGTGCTGAGACCAGCACCGTCCTAGGCAAACCAGGAAGGGTGGTCACCCCAAGTGTGATTGAAGTCACGGCCCCAAGGACTCATGGCTGGCCTCGTCCTCAGAGTTACCAATGGAAAACTTGGGCCAAAAGATATGAAGATGGTTCTGCTGAGAAACAGGAGCAGTTCTGAGGTCATCAGGCTTCCCAGTCACGGAGCACGTCCCCAGACATCCCATGCAGTGGAGTCAGGAGACTGGGCAGAAAGAGTCTCCTGCATCCTGTGCCTAAGAAAAGGAGGGCTAAACTCACAAGATTAATGTGACCTTAAAAAATGGGGTTTAAAGCTCAGACTCCGACCACAACCTCTAGAGTTCAGTGTGAAAAGTTATGAGTTTTCATAAGTAAAAGTGAGAAACTATGACAAAACTGTGATGGGAACACAGCCTGGGATGGAAGATACTGAAATGGGGGTACTGGTTGCTGGAAGAGTTAGAAATAGAAGAAATGTCATTTTGTTTCAGACACTTTGTGCTTTCCACACATTTAACAAAAATGAAACAATTTCTAAGAACAGGGAAATGCCTATTGTAGCAACTACTACAGATACCACTGCTAGAAAAATCACGCCTTCTAGCTATTTCCTGCCCATCCTCGCTGAGTGAGCGCTCCTGTCATTGCAGTTTCTTTGTCGGTGTCCAGGACGGAGAACGGGCTGCCTGGCTTCGAGTCGCAGGAAATGCCGGGATGGCTGGCCAACCCCCCGCCCCCCCTCCCTGGCTCAGCACGGGGCAGCTAGAGAACATTGGATTTTTGATCCAATGAGACAGTCAACCAAAGAGCTGTAAGAAGCTCTAAAAGTAACTTCCAACTCTTTAAGCACTGGTCTCTCTCGGGCTTGAAAATACCACAAAAGTCTTCCAGGAGGACTCAGCTGGTTTCAGCAAAATACAGAGCGAGGATGACAGAGGGCCTCCTAGCACCTGCTCCAGCAGGTCCGGGCCTGGAAGGACGCCGAGGCCTGGGAGGCCGGGCTCCGATCCCCCGGCCACCCCGCGAGCCACCCTGTGAGCCCAGGGGAAGACACGCAGGGCCCAGAAGCACTGGGGGCCGAGGGTGGTGACTCATTTCAGCTGGGTTCACAGAATCTGAAAAAGCTCAAGCTGACAAAAAGACCGAAGAAGACTGACTGGTTTTACCATATTTGCACTTAATTATACGCACAAAACGGTGGACGGTGACTTCCCAAACATCTCTGCATCCCCAGAAAGAAACGTGGGAAAGCAAATTGGGACGTCCGCTCAAATGATCTTGGTACTCGATAAGCCCCCCATCAACTCTCAAGGTGCCTTCCCTGACCCTGGGAAGACGTCACTGCCTCAGCTCCTTGTGGCGCTCACGGCGTGTGACAGGGGCCGGGTGCCCAGCACAGGCCCGGGGACCTCACAGAGTCATTGTGCTCCCCGGTGCCCCAGATTCACTGCCTGCGTTCTCGCTCTGAGGGCAGCACCAGGCTGACAGATAAAGGAGCTACAGAAATGACAAAGGATGACATCAGGACAGACGGTCACAGGCAGCTCCCTGCACCCCCCACACCCACACACGCCCTGCACAGACACCCCCTACACACACACCCTATACAGACACTCCCCCATATACCCCACACACACACCACATACACCCCCCACACACACCCTGCACAGACACCCCCATATACCCCACACACACACCCTGCACAGACACCCCCATATACCCCCCACACACCACATACATATATACACCCACACACACACACACACACCCTGCACATACACCCACCCACACACACATCCTGCAGACACCCCCTACACACACACCCTGCACAGACACACCCATATACCCCACACACACACCACATACACATACACCCCCACACACACACACATCCTGCACAGACACCCCCCATTTACCACACTCACCACCTACACATACACCCCCACAGACACTGCACAGACACTTGCCCACATGCCCCCACACACCCCTGCACACATACTTCACACAGACACCCACACACACACACCTCACATGAATACACCGCCCCACACACACACACACACCCCAGCCCCTCCGGGAGCACAGCAGGCAGCTGCTCCAGTGGTTTGGGCCTGACAAGGGCCTTGCTCATCTCTGCCTTGTGTTCACGGTGTGGGCAGCAGCCGCAGCCACCCCGTGACACCTGCCACTCCCTGTGCACTGTCACCTGTGAAGCTCCAGGGGTGAAAATGCGGATCCTGACTGGCAGGCTGGCTGGGGCCTGGGATCCTGCATTCCCAGCACTGCACTTGAGCACGAAAGATGCTCAGAGTTCGAGGTTCATGAAACTCACCATCCGCTCACCATCTGCTCCCCCATGGAGTCTCAGATGGTGGGGTGCAGAGAGGAGGGGGGCGCGGTCGGGGCTGGCAGGAGCCTGGAGGGCTCACAATCCCGAAGCCTGTCAAAGGAGAGGGGTGCCGGGCGGGGGGGGGGACCCAGGGGCCACACCCACCTCCGTGCAGGACACCCCAGACCCCACATGGGCGAGCCCTGCTCTGTGACGGGGACCCTTTGCTGGACGAGGCCCTAGGGCACCCAGGACAACCATCACCCAACTCCCTGGCAGCTGCACCTCCCCGGCCACAGCCCCTGCTTGTCACCTCAGCATTTCTTCCCTGAATGTCCCCTCTCCTGCCCACCCTCTTTCACACCCACACTCTCTCTTCGTGCGGTTCTCTCTGTCTCTTCATGTTTCCATCTCCTCATTCTACTTCCCAAACAGAGAAAGCTGGAGAGGTAAAAAGGATTGTATCCATTTCGGGAACCTTCGGTCCCCTCCGGTGTGGAGTCCCTTCCAGACTTGAAGCCTGTGTCCGGCGGTCAAGTGGCCTGAGCACAGGACGAGGCCCTGGAGGCTGAGCCTGCTTCACCCCGCAGTTCGGCAGCCCAGGGAAAGCTACTCTCCATCAATTTTCAGCTAAGAGCCAGGAGTGATCGGGTGCAGATTTACATTTTAAAGTTTGAGACCCAATCCATGAAATCCCCAAACAGGCCTTCTGGTGAAATCACCATCGTCCAGCCCTGCCTCTGATGCCCTCTGTGGTCCCAGCTACAGACGCGAGCATTTCTCCTCTGCACCGGTGATGTCCCAGATGGGGCGTGGAAATGGCTCACATACTTGGGGCCCCTTGCTCATCTGCATTAAGTGACCCCAGGTCCAGCATATTGAGTCCTCCTAACTCTATCCTTCCATCCCAACTTTGAATGGCAGCCTGTCCATCCACCTAGTGCACTCAGCGTCAGACAACAGCAGGTGAGGCTTCGGCTTCCAATAAGCTCTGGGCTGAGGAACCAAGCAGCCCCACTTATTAGAATTGCACCCAAAATCAGAGCCAGTACCTCTGAGTGTGCACCTGAGGGTCTCCCCTGGGAGCAAAACTCACAAGGCTCAGGGTATAGGCTTTGTGGTCTTTATTTTGGTCGCAGTCTCTTTTGGGGTTCATTTCCTTTCTCAGTGCATCTTAGAGAGTTTGTATTATTAGATAAGAAACCTCCATATGAGGGAAGACTCGTAAGGTATAAGATATTTAATAACAGCAAACATAACACACGACTAAAGCCAATATCTCCAGTACTGTCACAGCTGTGTCAATATTGTCACGTAAATGTGGTAACAGTATTTTTTAAATGGCTTCGATTCATTAACCCACAGCGCAGTGAAACTCACTGCCACCCATTTATCACTTTCACTTGGAAGATGATGTTATCACAAGAGCATCTTCCCATGAATTACAGCACGGTGAGTTCTCTTGACCCAGACCCAGGAGTACGGCACTGTGGATACGTGCTCACACACAGCCTCACACGCTCAGCTCCCCGGAGCTGGCTCCGGACTCGCCCACCATCACCCTGCTGGCCAGCACCTGGCTCTCTTCTCCATCCACATGGGACTTGCTCCTGCCCTGCCCCCTGATCCTTCCCTGCACTTCCACATCAGCCCCTCCCTCACTCAGCCCCCCACCTCCTCTGTACCCCATCCATGTGCAGATGCACCAGCACACTGTCCTGTAGCACAGCTGATCCCATGGCACGTGCAATAAGGTGGACAGACGATGCTTGGCTTGGGTTTAGAGAATCCGGATCTCTCCATTACAGTTATAGATGACTGCTCTATACAGACGGTTGCTCTTTCAAAGGTGGCTATTTTTACTATGCTTTACTAGGTTCCTTGCAAATGCTACAGGCCTTTCAACATACGAGCCACCATGCGTCAGGTCACAAGCCTGAAGGTCATATTTAGATGAAGGTCCTCTCATCTGTGTGAGACGGAAAGAGCACAAACTCTGGAATCAGACAAAACTGGAACTCACATCCCTCCCTTGCCATACACTGATGGCGTGACTTTGTCTAACTCCTGAATCACACCTGCCTCCCAGGACTGCCATCAGAACCCCCTAAAATAACACACGAGAAATCTCTAGAACAGCATGCAGCACCTAACAGACTCAATAAAAGCGTTCTTCTCTCTCCCCAAGGCATGATCAGAGCTGTCTAAATAAGTGTTCCATCAACATCTGACTTGATAATATGAACATTGCAGTATTTCTTTTACCTTCAAGGCATGAAACTGTTAATAAGATCACACAGGTACAATGCTTTCTAAATTCCAAAACAAAAAAAAAACTTACCAATAAAGAAATAACTTTTTGTTCCACAAATGAGCAGCTACTGAGTTTTTCCTTTAATTTTCAGATTTCCTAAATCTTTGGATTTCCCTTCAGCCGTGTAAACGCCCTGGCCTGCTCCTTGCTGTGTGAAAGCGTAGATAGATGCTGTGCCACTCCAAGGGCTCCGCACTTTGGATGTCCTTATGCTCATTGCTCAGCAAACTTCTCAAGTGAATACTCTCTCATTCTTTGCCCACAGACTGGGTGGTGTGGTGAACTGCCTCACCACAAGTTTTATTCCTCCAGCACATACTTCAGATTGTATAAGGGTAACAAATAAAGTGGAGGAAGGAAGACAAGTTTATGCAAGTAGGTCACTTGATAATTTCAATTTTAGATATAAATTCTTTTTGTTTCAGAATTATTGGTCTGTGGAATATTTTTTTTATTCTTCTCGGAAATTCCAAATCAATTAGAATGATTCTAAGGTTCTCTGAAAAGCTCCACACAATACTGAATGAACTTTATGATCAACTACCCACATTCCTATTCTTAAAAGAATAAAAAACCCAAAAAAAATATGACTAATGCTTTTATGGTAAAAATATAACTAGAGAACCTGCATGTCACAAATACTGTGGGCCTGTGACCATCTCCAAAAGAAGGCATAACCCAGTTGTAAAGGAGAAATCCCACCCAATTTGTTTCACTAACCTTTTTTCTACAGCATGTGGCTATTATATCATAACCTGACCTATTTAGGAGCAGCAGAAACCTGGGTTTTCATAGCCCTAGTGCAACTGTCAAAATTCAGTTTGGGAATAGCCCCTTGTTTGAGGGGTAATCTGAGTTACCTTCTCCACCTCTCTAAAATAAGCAATATTCAAGCTACAAATGCCCCAAGAAAGGTCTCAAATTGGCCCTTGATACAAAACACAAGACTGTTGGGAAAAGTGACAACATACATCTCTGGTTTGTCTATTTCCTTTCTTTTCATGGGATCATAAATAGTACTGTTAATATTAATTAACATTTGTGTAATACACATCAGAAGGTATTTTCACGTTTATCATTTTGTTTAATCCTGGGAAGTCATTTTGGTAAAGTATTTTACAAGTAGAAATATTTCACAGATGGAAAGAAACCAGCACATAGAAATGTTAAGTGATTTGCATGAGAGCATATAAGTAAGAAATAGTGGATTCCAAAAGTAAGACCTGGCTCTTCTAAGTCCTCCTTACACCAGACCCCAATTTATTTGTTCCTTCAGCAAACCCTCACTGAGCACCTACTGTGTGCTTGGCACTTAGTTTATAGGCAAAAATGTTGTAGCAGTGAATAAAACAGACAAAATCCTTGACCTCATGGGATTCACATTCCAATCATGGGAGCTGGACAATAAACAAAATCAATAAAAAGATATATAGTATGATAGAGGGTGATAAGTGCCTTGGAGACACATCCAGGAGGGAGGTCAGATAGAGATATGGCTGAGAAATTTTAAGTAGAATAAACAGGGAAAGATTCACTGATGAGAAAACACTTGAACAGAGCTCTGAGAGAAGTGTGCAAGTGAGCCATGTGTTTACCAGGGGAAGGAGGATTTCAGGATGAAAGAACAGCAAGGGTCGTGTCCCCTGAGGCAGACACCTACTTGACATGTTCAGAGCTCGTGTAGCTTCAGTGAGCCGGGAGAGGGCACTGGGAATGGAGTCAAAGAGGCAAAGAGGTGATAGGACACAGGTCATGGAGCTGTGCGGTTCATGGTGACGACTTTACCTTCCTGTCGGGGTGAGATGGGAGGCTAGTGGAAGATTCTGAGTAAGAGGATCTCACTTATATTGTAAGGAGATTATTCTGGTGGCCATGTTGAAAATAGATGAGGGACAACCGGGGTAGGAGCGTGGGGGGCGTAGGGATGAGGACAACTGTCCCAGTGAGATATGATGGGTCTATTTTGGAGATAAAGCCAATGGGATTTTCTGACAGACTGGACATAGTGTCTTGAGAGAAAGGAAAGCACAAAGGATAACTCCAAGGTGCTTGATGGGAACGATGGAGAGATGGCATTCATCAGTACAGTGGAAAATGTTGAAGAAAAGGCAGGATAGGGGCAAGGGAGACTATCGGAAAGTTGGTTAGGGACTTGAGAAGTTAGGTAACAAGTAGACCATCCCAGGGGCGACATCTAGCACACAGGTGTTTATTTGAATCTGCAGTTCAGAGAGAGTACTGGGCTGGAGGTGTACTTTGAGGGGGGGCAGTCATGAGCTTATGAGGTCACCCAAGGAGTGGGTATAGATGGTCAGAAGAAAAGCCCCAGGGCCTGAGATCTGGAAGACAAGTGCAAATGTGTTTCAAGAAGGAGAGAAGAATCAACCATGTCAATGCTGGCAGGTCAAGCAACGCAAAACTGAAAAAATTGACCACTAGACCATTTAGCAGCATGCAAATCATTGCAGCCCTGACACAGTTTTTGTTGAGTGGTGTGGAGAAAAAAAAAACTGACTATAAGAGAGTTAAAGACAGGAGAGAATACATTTATCTCGGGAAATTTGCATGAGGGAAAGAGCTAGGCAGTAGCTGGAGATGGTATCAGAGTCAAAAATATTTGGTAAGATCCAAGAAATACAGGATGGGTTTGCATATTGGTGGGAATAGCCCAGTAGAGAAAAAAATGTTGACTCTGCAAGAGAGAGGGAGGGAGAAGTGCTTGCTCTCCATCATCGAGTAGACCAAGGCCGCTGGGCAAGAGTGGAGGGAGGGGCTGGATTGGGGTGGGGAGGGGGCAGCTTTCCCACCCGGGAGTCACAGGCAACAAGGCAGGGGGCAGGTGGGGGTGGAGGTGCGGACGTGCTTGTGCAGGCTTCTTCCTGACTGTTCCTCTGTTCTCAGTGAATAGGAAACCACGTCATCCCCTGAGAACAAAGATGGAAAAAGAGATGTCAGGACTTTGACAAGAGAGGAAAAGGGATGAGGCAGCCATTTAGGGGAAAGGATAGAAGATCCTCTGCTGCCAGGCACCACTAGCCTGCAGTCATACATTTGAAGTGACACCAGCCACCACCATTGTTTGCTACCTTTTTTCTAGACATATTCCGTTATGTGGGAGGAGAGTTTAATTCAAGTGGAGCTGTGGTTTAGCCAACTGAGTAAGACAGAGAATGTGCCAGTTGGTGGAGAATGTGTGCAATAAAACTATTATACTGCCTTCTAACCACTGCACCCAGAACACCGTAGGGACGGCCCAAAGACAGACTAGTTGAAAAACATGGTAATTCCAAACTCTTGGCTCCTTTAAAAACCTATGATGGGGGCACTTGGGCGGTGCATCTGGTTGAGCGTCTGACTCTTGGTTTCAGCTCAGGTCACGACCTCAGGGTGTGAGATCGAGCCCCGACATCGGGCTCCTTGCTCAGCACGGAGTCCGCTTGAGATTCTCTCTCCCTCTCCCTCCTGCTCATGCTCTCTCTTTCTCTCTCTAATAAATAAATAAATCTTTAAAAAAAATCTATGATGGTCGCTAACACCAAAAACATTTCAGTAGTGTTTTACCTTTTATTAATTTTGGCCCTGCCAGTTCTCAGGGCCACTGATTATTGAATTTTGCTGTCATCTATAAAAGCAACACCTTTTTTTCACCCTAACTTACTTTTTTTATGCGTCTAGTACATTCTAATACTCTGATATTTAGCAAACAAACCTGTGTGCAATATAGTGATATCCTTGATGATAATAATTACCCGTCAGACTGTTTATACTGCATATATATTTCAGAAAGGGGAAAAAAGCTACTTTAGCAAAAGCTATCTGAAATTGCTTACTCATTCTTGGGCAGTAAATAGATTGCTTATACTAGCAATCTTGGGGTTGCCTGCCCTTATTGATATGGAAAGCTTGCTAATGGCCACTTTTAGACCTCAAATATAGGCCCAGAGACTTACCTGGGCTGGGCTTTGGGAGACATTATTCTGATAAAATAACCTGAATTTGGGAGCAGAAACTTCCAGTATCTGATTTTAGGTTGCCCTGGCTTTTTCTGTGATGTAGCCAGCACTCCAGAATCCTCAAACCTTAGGGAAAACCTTGCTAGATACATTAGACATACATTAAAGGTGCTCAATGGAGATGAAGCAAAGAAATGGTCTTGAGAATTCAGCACTGAAACCAAAATTACTGTGGCTGGGGGCCAAAAGCAACGTTAGAAACCCAGGGACATGACCACAGCAAGGCTCTGAGTATCCCCTGGACGTGTCCTGCCGCGGCCCGCATCACAGTGAGAACCCCCATGTGCTACAGATAGGCGAGAAGTTGGAAGGTGATTTTGAGTTCTTCTCCACTGGGATGGCTTACTTGACTTTTTACTGCCTGGAATAATAGGGTTATCTGAGCACATGGAAATAAGCAGAACTAGTCTCACCCGAAACTCAAGGCCCACTTCTAGCAAACCCAAGACTAAGATTGTGCAAACTCGTAAACATTGTCCTGAGAAATGTATGTTTTTATTGCTTTAATATCTACATTGTTTTTTTCAATACATACAATAATATTTCCAGTTAAACATTTTGTTTTGCTTTGTTGAAATACATAACTATAAGGATACCAAATGGGACTCTGACAGAGTGAGCCACAGAGCCCCGTGGCAGTGAGCTTCCTTAGTGTTTCTGAGGAGACCAGTGCTGGTCACAACATCCATTTATTCTGAAAGAATAAAATGGGCCCAATTTCTGCCTCCTACACAGCCAAACAGAGCAATGTCGTAGGATGCCATTATTTTTATTTTTTTTTACATTTTTTTATTTAAATTCAATTTGCCAACATATAGTATAACACCCAGCGCTCATCCTATCAAGTGCCCCCGTCAGATCCCATCACCCAGTTACCTGATTGTCCCACCCACTTCCCTTTCAACAACCCCCCTATTAGTGATGAATAACACTTGTATTGCAAGGAGAGGGGCGTGCTGCTGTGTGCAGGGATTTGGAGATTCAGCATGAGAGTGAAGAATGAAGGCTCTTCTGATCCTCAAGGTAACAGCTTCCCTTCATGTGCATTAAGGTCTCATTATTTAGAACTGTTGCCTCCCAGCACCCATCGTTGCATATTGAGTTGACATAATTATTATCTAAAAGAAAGTTCCAGTGATTAGAACAAAAAGACTCAACCTTTCATGTGCCCTTTTGCCCTCCCACGTCTCCTAAGAGAAAAGGGCTGATGCAAAGTCTGAGTAAACCCTGAACAAGCTGAGCATTGCCATCCTATTCGCCAGCATCACCTCCATACCTGCCAAGATTAAATCTCTAAACACGTGTCACATCTGGGCGTTCAGCTTTTCGGCGCTGTCTCCTGTTTGTCATAGTGCCTTGGAACCAACACAGGGTCCGATGGTACAGAAAGTTAAATCTCGGGAAGAAATGAAAACATTAATTGTGAAACAGAGCAGGTCCCCAAATGTCTGATGCTGCAAGGACAACTGTGATGAAAATGAAATGCTGCCTCCACGGTCTGCACCGTCCGACCACCGAACAGACTTCTCCCATGACTGGCTCTCCATGAAATAATTTCTCCCAAATGCACCTTCGTGTTTCTCTAGTTTGCTAAGATTCCATTTTTCTTACCAGCCTCATGTTTTATAGCTGTCAGTGGGCAGAAAATGTCAAAGAAACCATTTGTATGGCCTGCGTGCATTTGGCGATCTTAACAGAGAAGTAGGGTAGGGATCGGTTGATGACACAGAGATGAAAACCGACAGCTCCTCGATCAGTGCAGACCCATCTCTGTCCTAATGTCAGATGCCTCCTGGCTTCTCTGGTTGTCCCACTAAAGCCATTCAGGGCAGAAAGGTCCAGGGTACTTTCACGTGGTATGCTCAGTTCTCAAGGGCTCTCTCGAAATCAGACTTTCCCTGGTCTCATGACCTTGACACCTGACACTAGATTACAGGACGTTCCTTAATTTGGGTTTGTACAGGGTTGCCTTCTGACTGATACGGGATAGGCCTTTCTGGTGGAAACATTGCAGAAGTGATGCTGTGATGACGCATCTCACGGGTCCCAGCAGGTGATACACGGGGAGTGGGGGGGGGGGATTGTTCCCCAGGCTCGTGTCGGTAGCGATGGCAAGATGCAGGGGGCATCTGGCAGATTCCAGCACCGTCAGGCCATTCTTTCTCACTTTGGAATGAGAACGTATTTTAAGAGGAGAAGCCGTGAAGTTGTAAGTGTCCCTACCCTCATCCAACTGCCACCTGCCAGGTCCAGCACAGCTGGTGTTTCCTGCATCACTTACTACGAGCTTCCAGCGGTGATTCTCCGCTTCACCAGCCCTACCCCGCCAAGAGGCTGGCATGCTGCTGAAAGCTTCCTCTCTTCTCTACTCATTTTTGTCAAAACAGGCTGATGGGTTCCTATTTTTCTCAGTGGGTTATTGCAAACCTTGCTATTATTTTATCAGTATTATTAATTTTGGTGTAAAGTCACTGCAGATCCAACCAGTAGGAGCCCCTTCAAGCTGGCCACTGTGTCCTCTCAACAACAGGTCACCGTGTGAGCACTTTTTGCTGCGGCCCACCGTGCACGTCTGCAGTCCCAGCCCTGGAACCTGGAATCAGCCCGGCTCCCTTCTGTGGAGAATGATCTGCTGAAACTAGTCCCTGGGCTCTAGCGTGTTCTCTGCTACAGAGGTGTCTGCTCCCAGGCACTCTGGCCGGGAAAGCTGCACACACACACACACACACACACACACACACACACACACACATTTACCTCTGTACTTATATCTGCATCTACCCACATTTGTTGAAACAGCTCCAGTTTTAACTTAGCACCGTAGGATTTATTCCAGTCTTCTCCCTTTCCATATTTATAATTTCTTTCTTTGACCGTGAGAAACATGGCTTCTATAACCCTCAAGATATTTACCTATTTGACCAACCTTCCCTCCGTCTAAATCACCGCTGCCATCCTGGGTAGCTACCCTCTGCCCTTGCTTTGGTTCTGATAACCCACCCTGGGCTGCTGTCCACACTCCCACACAAATAACTTCCTTAATCCACTTGTATTCTGGACCATGTGTCCATACCTGCACCAAGCATCCACGGCCACAGCCCCCACCCTGGGCACTTGAATGTTAACTTTTCATGTGAGTAACTGTAAGCTGGGCTGCTGCTCATAGTTGCATAGGATGTACACTGAACAACTCCAGAGTCACGGTGTGTAGAGTTTTCAACACTAGTTTCCTTTCCAGGCTCTTCAACCTTCTGCAGATATTTACAACATATCAGCATTTATGAAAATATGTCTTTGAGAGTAAACTCATGAACATCGTTTCCCTGCAAGCACTGTTGAAACCTGCAGACAAACAAAACTTTTCTCAAGTATTTTTCTCTCACTTAGTACTTACCAAGTATCCGTTTTGTCCTAGAATATGAGCCTTTTGTTAACATTTATTAGGATTTCAGGATTAACTAGGATGTTCCCAAGTCCCAGTCTCTTCATTTATTCTCTGGAATCAGAATGTCTTCCAGGACCGTGGCCTTTGGCCTCTAGGACATTTCCTTGAACATACAGAAAAGACAGAAATGACTTTTGTCCATGACTAGTCCTAGCTGCTGCTACTGGAAGTCACCAGCCATGTACTCTCTAGGCAACCTGGATACAGCCTGTTTTTCTTGTTCACAAATGCTTTTGTCTCTTATATTTCTCCCTGAGTCCCTCATTCGCTTCTTGGGGGCCACGGTTTTAACCAAACAAACCCGGTGAATGTTGGTTGTCACTGGCAATGAGAGGCCCCTGCAGACACACACACGCGTGCACACACACATGCGCACACACATGCGCACGCGCGCACTATGTCCCACACCCCTCTCCCACCCCCACCCTGGCCAGCTTCCTCTTCTCTCACCAGACGGGGCACCCAGCTCTCCTGGGTCCTGTTCCTGCTGCCCCGTGCGTAGAGCAGAGCCAGACCCGTCACAGCTTTGCTTCCCTCGGTGACACAAGACTCCAACCATTGACATACTCATTTTCTGAGTCTTGAACTGGCCCAAAGTGTAGCTTTTGTAGGAAAAATAGAGACAACATGCTTACATGGGGCTCTAGGAATACAGTTAGCTGAGGGCATCGCCTTTGAGCCAGCAAGACCCCCGGGAACAAGCAGCTGAAACTTTCTGATGGTTTGTTGTGTCTTCAGGTGGATGCGTGGCCCCATGGGTGAGTGACAGTGTGTGCAAGTGGTCCCAGCCCACGCTGAGGCACGAATGTGTGGAGATTGGAGCGGCAAGTGCATCCCAGAGAACAACTCTCCCCAGTTTCTGAGCCCTGCTTCTCCATAGAGGTGGAAGTTTTGCCTGGACACACGGCCCTGGTTGCAAAGCCCTATGTCTGCACACCAGCCTCTGCGGCATCCCGCGTGGCACCCAGTGGCATCCCTTGTGGCAGAGTGAAAGAGCTCTGGTTCCGGGGCAGTTGAAGGTCCCCTGATGTGCACCTTTTGCCCTTCTTCTCCATCTGGCCAACCACCCCACGTGGTGAACAGAGGGCCTGGCCCCAGGGACAGGGGGCGGCGGGACCGGGAGCCCTGGGCCGCGTGAGGACCACCGGTCCGGGGCTATACGTCTGCAGAACTTGAGAGGAGAGAACAGCCCAAGCCCAGCTGGCTTGAGACTCTGCTGCTTTCAGTTTTCTGCATGTGTGAGACCGCTCACTGCCCCCGGATACAAGGACAGAGGAGAACAGAACCCAACCACAGCCTTCCTGGGGTGCGATCAAGCATACAGGTACTCGGGGACAGAGTCCCGAGAAGCAGCCCAGGGCATGGGCTTCCAAGGAGGCGAGGTCAGCAGCCAGACTCCCGCACTTCCTCCAGAAGGACATGGGCAGCAAAGTGGGGAGGAGCCAGGACATGGTTGGGGGTGAAGGATGTGAGCAAAGGAACAGAGGGAGGACACCCCAGGTGGCTGGGGAGGTGGGGTGGCCAGATTAGCACCATTTGTCCCAGACAGTAGACAGCAATAAAGAGGCTTCAACTCCACATTCTAAAGCCTGAATCTGATGTGTGGGACGTCGTGCTGGCCCACGTAAGGAAAGTCAATCCAAGGTGTGAAGATTGTAAACCAGCAGCATCCTCACCCCTCCCACTCCCCTGAACCTCAGGGTCCCTGAGCAGCAGCAGGGAGGGCTGGAGTCTGGGAATAAAGAGCAGTGAGGACAGGAGACAGCCCCGCTGCTGACACTATCAGGCAAAGCTGGAAGGATGGGAAGGCAACGGGTTTTATGCAACGTCACAATACCCTCGGGTTGTGGGGGTCATAGGAGAATAATCCCCTACACAGGACAATAGTCACAGAGTCAGCCACGCCAAAGAGCCGGTCAACACCACGCAGGCCACACGAGCAAGATCAGGCCAGTCCCAGACAGTGAGAACCATCCACAGAGGACTCTGAACATTGAGCCAGAGGCCTTAGGAGCCCCTGAGGACCATGCACGGGTGCGCAGGTTGAGCACTGCTCTGTATTAACAGCTGCGTGCTGGAGGCGAGATGCCAATTGGGTCAAGAGGAACAAATGGTGGGCGGACGAGCTAAGCAAGCTGCTGCGATGGGCTGGATATGTGGGCGAGGCGAACGCCACACATCCCCCCAAAATATGTCTCTTTGACCTGTGCATTGTTTTGAACGGAAGCCCCTGACGACCAGCAGAGGCAGGAAGAAGTCCTAAAACATGGCGCAAGTCCTCCTCCTGGAAGGAGCACTCCCCCCTCTCCCATCGTGGGCGGAGGAGGACTTAGCAGTTCCATCCGTGAAGGAGGCACAGGCTGCATAATGAACCCAACTCACAGCCCTCGTCCCCACCCTTTCCTGGTCATCTCCCTACAATGTGACCCTCACCCCCCGCCCCGAAGCCTCCGCCCCAACCCTCGTGTTTAGCCCCACAGTGTCCCTGCCATGTCCTAACCAGCCCGCGGTGACTCATCTCTGGGTGCTCCCGGGAAGCACAATGCCATCCCAATAAACTTTTAAGTGGAAACCTGAGCTTGCCTCCATGAACATAACTTTTGGGTCAGCGGTCAGTCCTGTTTACAGGGCGCCAGCTGGAGAACCCAGGTCGAATGAGCAGAAGGGACAACTGAACCCAAAACTTGACAGGTGAGCATGATGCACAGGTGGCAGGTGGCAGTCTGTGCCGGCACACGGTGACAAGCGGGGGCCAGAAAGGCAGCCCTGCCCTGGGGGAGCAGGCTCCTGGGGAGCACCGAGGGGGCTGCTGGGTGTGGGGCTGCAGGCTTCTCCAGGGGTTACCCTTGAGCAGAGCGTTGGAGGATGAGAGGATGAGAGGGGATCAGCCACCTCCCTGGGAAGCGAGCCTGGGGGGAGAACATTCCAGGGAACCTCACAAACCAAGCCCAGAACATTCCAGGGAACCCCAGGAGCCAAGCCCGGAGGCCAGGGGGGTGGTTCCCCAGCTACTCCTGTCTAGACTCCCACGGGGCCCTACTGCGTGTAGGAGGCTTGGGGGGCTCACAGGTGCAGGTGCGGGGGCGCCTGGTGAACATCTGTCACATGTCCTTCTACGAGTAGGAACATGGTTCATAGGAGGAGAGTCAAACAGAGAGTATTAGGGAAGGTATTGACCTTTACCAAACTTTCAAGGGAGATTATTTTCACTTTTTAAATGAAAACCTGAGCTTGCCTCCATGAACATAACTTTTTATATCTGGTCTAAGACCTGGCATGGCTCCGAGGAGCTCCTGTTATTGAGACATTTCAGCAGTGATTTCTGCTGAACAAGCTTGGGGTAGAGGCCGGCCGCCCCTGACCCCAACCAGGGGGGCTAGACCGGAGGGGGGGTGCTGGGAACGCAGGCCCACAGAATCAGGATGACAAGTGTCCTGCTGCCTGAGGGTATCGGAGCCGGAGAAGGATGCTCACAGACCTGGGGACCACAGAAGTCCTGAGCTCCAAAACGAAAGGTTGGGAAACAAGCCCTGAAGACCAGTCACCCGCCGCCCAGACATGCGTTAGGAAGTGCTGCTGCGCGGCAGCCAGGGTGTGATCCTGGGGTCCCTGGATCAAGTCCCACGTTGGGCTCCCTGCGGGGAGCCTGCTTCTCCCTCTGCCTGTGTCTCTGCCTCTCTGTGTCTCATGAATAAATAGATAAAATCTTAAAAGAGAGAGAGAGAGATAGAGAGAGAGAGAAAACATGCTGCTGCATAAATACTCTTGGAGCACTTAGAAAAGAGCGTGGCGGACGCTCGGAGCGCACCACCAAAAAGCCACTTCTTTTCTCTAGTTCTTGAAATTAAATGGCAGTGAAGCGGGAGAGCTGGGTTCTTGTCCCACGGAGTCGGAGAATGAATCTCGGGGACCAAGGACACTGAGTAAAGTGATCGAAGTTTATTAAGCAAAGCCACAGAGACACTCTCAGAAGTGAGAGGGGTCCCGACGGGGCCCCCACAGACAGTCCTTTAGAAGTGACTAGGGAGCCTGTGTCCTTATCATCCTTGTGACGTCTTGGTGTGAGCGAGGACTGCTGATCACATCTTTAATGGCTTCATGGTTATTCTTTGTTGGTCACAGATGACTGTCATAAAAAAAGACCCCCTCCCCACCCACACCCAGAGCAGGGTGGTCTGTCGTTCCCTTCGCTCTGGATTCCTTCCACCTCAGCATTTTTTGGGGATTTCTGTAAGCCTGATCCCATAGCCCCCTACCTCTCTCTCCCTACCTGTCACCCCCCACCCCGTCCCTCACTCGGCAAGATACTTAACACCTGCAATGTGACGATTCGATATATATACACATGTCCACTGGGCCAGGAGCCCCCCCTGAGTGAATGCATGCATCACCCCACATAACTAGCTTGGGGCTTTTCTGGGGAGAATCTTTAAATTCTACTCTCAGCAAATTTCAATTATACGATACAGTGTTATCATCTGCAGTCGCCACGTTAGGCTTTAGATCCCCAGATCTTATTCATCTCAAAACTGAAAAATCGTACTCTTAAAAGCTACCTACCCCTCTCTATTCCACCCCCCCCCAACCCTTTCCCCCAGGCAACCACTTTTCTACTGTTGCTTTGAATGCAAAAAAAAGGTTTTTGGCCTTTCTCAGGTGTGGCTTGTTTCACTTAGCATAATGCCCCCCAGGTTCATCCATGTTACCACAAACAACAGGATTTCTCTCTTTTTTAAGGATGAATAACATCCTATTTTATATATATGCCACATTTTCTTTATCCACTCTTCTGTCGACACTTAGGTTGTTTCTATATCGTAGCTACTGTGAATAATACTGCTATGAACATGTGAGTACAGGTACCTCTTCAAGAGAATCATTGCACCCCCTTTGTTTTTTTTAAGAATTCATTTATTTATTCATGAGAGATGGGGGGCGGGGGTGCAGAGACACAGGCAGAGGGAGAAGCAGGCCCCATGCAGGGAGCCCGATGTGGGACTCGATCCTGGGTCCCCAGGATCACCCCCTGGGCTGAAGGCGGCGCTAAACCGCTGAACCACCCGGGCTGCCCTGCCGTTGGATATATACCCAGAACTGGGATTC